GTTCGAAAGATACAAGGAAAATTGGTGTGGTACGAGAAAGTTGATAGATGGTGTACTTCACTTCACATTTAGTGATATCTTAGGTAAAATTTGAAGAAATGATGCCATAGATGTATGTCCTTGAAATGTAACGACCCATCCCTAAAAATTATGATTTTTATAATTTTTAAATGTTAATTTACGGAAATGCCCTTTGAGGCAAAGACATGGACTTTTGTTGATCGTCTTGTCACATCATTTAAGGTTCATTTTCTTGGAATATCCTCATAGTACTCGTCGCTACGGACGCGTGGGCACAAACAGAACACAATTTGGAGTTATAATGAAGGAGATATTAACGTTTAAAGTCCGGGGCATTTTAGTAAATTAATTATTTCTAGAAAGCTCCAGATTTTTCAGCTTAATCTGGAAAACCATGTGTGTGGCCTAGATTTAAAGACAGAAAGGATGGGCGGTAGAGATGAAGTATAAAGGAGAGAAAAGAGGGAGGAACCGAACTAATCATAAAATGAGAGATGAGAGGGTGACCAATCAGAGAAGAAAGAAAGGAGGGAGGTGCAGAGCACCCAACCAATTCGACTCGTACACCCATGACAACCCGGTTTCAAACTGGTGGAATTTTCCTGCGATACTCATCCAATTTTCAAGCAATTTTCACCCATTCACCTCATCACCACACCCCCAACATCCATTTCTAGCTAGAATCAACACGGATTGGTTGAGATTCACGAAGAAATACCCATAGGTGCCACGGAAGCCGTTGCCCGAGATCCACCAATCTTGAAACGTTTTCCTTCAATTACCACCACCAAAACACTCCTCAAGAGGTCAAGATCAAAGCCTAATCAATGGTTAGAGTGTCAGAGTTGATTTGAGGACGAATCAAGAACACCCAAATTCTAGGGTTCCGACGGGTTTTAGAGAAATTGAGGCTTTCCCAGCCAAATTGGACTTAGTCACAGGTATAAAAGTTGCTCCACTCACTGAGATCTTCATTTTTGTGAAGTTTGAAAATTTTTAGAAATAGTTAAATTTTTAGCCGAGTCGGGGTGACCGATCGCCATCGGCGGTAGCGTATGCGGCAGTGCGTGGCCAGGGGGCCGTCGATACCATTTTTAGGATAGATTAGATGCCTTGAGTTCAGTTCTGATAATTTTATAACGTAGGTTTACATTAATAAGTCATTATATGAATCGATGATCAAACCGTTGGATCGTAATGAAACTTTAGGATCTTGTTCTAGAAGCATAATGTGGACATTTGGAAGTAACGGATTGGAAATCCATGATGTGGACCTTCTGGATCGATTTACGAAGGAATGCGTTTTATGTAAATTATGTATTCTATCGATAAGAATTCTGAGATGTAGTTTGATAATTGTTCTAGGCACCGATCGTTCGAGACATCTCGATATTCATGCTAGGGAGTCTAGCGCGGACCTCAGGTGAGTGGCCTTTTGGTTTTCTATATATATATATATATATATACATTTCCCAGAAACTGTTTTAAATGGAATCTCGTTTAAAATGCCATGTCATATAATAACCAAACGGTGGCTAACTAGGCGGTCCACTACGAAACTATATTAAAACATCAAGATTTCACTAAATAGATGTGAATTATGGAATCGGGTCATCAAATTAGTCTAGGATGGTCATGTAGAGTCTCAGCTCACGCACCGCCGTACGCAACGGTCAACCGCCCAGACTCACTGGAAAAATCAACTATTTCCAAAATTTACCAAATTTCACAAAAATGAAGATCTCAATGAGTAGAGCAAGTTTTATACCTGTGTCAAAGTCCAATTTGGTCGGGAAAATCCCTAATTTCACTCAAACTCGCCGGAAACCAAAGAAATTGGTGGCTTCGATCCATCACCTCTGGTGCTCCACCGCACTCAAACCTATTTGGGCTTTGTTCCTGACCTCTAGAGGAGTGTTTTGGTGGTGGTAATTGAATGAAATCGTTTCAAAATTGGTGGATCTCGGGCAAGGGTTTCCGTGGCACCCACAGGTTCAAACTTCGTGAAATCTTAACCCATTCTTGTTGACTTTGGCTAGAATGGGATGATGGGATGTTGTGATGGTGGTGATGGGAGGTTGAGGAAAGCTAGAAGAATGGATGGAAAACCGTCGGGAAAGTCGTTGAAACTCGGATCGGGTCGCGGGTCTTCAAAGGGATCTGATTCCTTTTTTTTTCTCCCTTCTCTTGTTTCTGATTGGGCAGCCCCCCAATCCCTCATTTTTACTCATCTCCCTTTCATCTCAGCTGTCCATCTCTCTCATTTCTCTTCTTTCCTTTCATCCCAACCACACACGTGGCACATCACATTGCTCCAGAAAATTTGGAGCCTTCTAGAGTAAAGGTTAAATTTACTAGAATGCCCCAAATTACGTTAGTAACTCCTTCATTATAACTCCAAATTACATTCTGTTTACGCTTACACGCTCGTATCGACGAGTATTACGCAAATATGCTAAAAGAATGAGTCATACGTCTCTGTAAACAATAGTCAACAGAAGCCAAAATCCTTGCCTCTAGGGGCATTTTCATCAATTCACACTTTTAAAATTTATATTATCGGGACAGGTTGTCACACATTACGAAGTGAGCCCCCAAAAAATGTGTCATAAGTTGTGTAAAAAAAAAGGTGTCACGTATCCATTCCCATGAGTCACACATTAATTATAGGAGTAATGCTAGGGAGATCACATATTTATACACTATTATATATCATCCGATGTGGCATGTGCACTTCACTTGCCATATCAGATGTGGTCTCCTTAGCATTTTCCTAATTAAAGTTATACAAACAAGTGTAGAGAAATCTTGCTACATGGCTATACCTTAATGCTTAAGTGGTAGTTATATAATGCTAGGGAGACTAAATTTATAGACATAATTTGCAAATTAGATGATGTGTCACCAATAAAAATGAGCATTTTCATCAATGCTTAAGTAATAATCTAAGGATAATGCTAGGGAGACCAAATTTTAAACCAAATTTGCAAACCAAATAATGCGTCACCAATAGAAAATAAGCACATTAATCAACACTTAAGTACTAATCCAATCATCAACATCCACATTATTTTGTTTACAAAATTTGGTTTCCCTAGCATTTATCAACTTCCATATTATTTATTTTACAAAATTTAGTCTCCATAGTACTACTTGTAAAACAAAGAAGAAGAATATATGTTATAATATTATATTTTACAAAATGAGAGATGCTATTAGCACTCTAAAAGCTTCATCATGCATGCACTCCATATCTATTTTCTCATTCATGTGTATATAAATGAGAATTTACATAAAACTAAGGCCTAAAGAATTAGATTAATAAAAATAAAAATAAAACAAAAAGGTAGAGCAATATATGTTAACGCTCAAATATGGAGAAGCTAACAAAGATCAGTATGGTTGTGTGTCAATCCTTAGGGGTCTCAGTGTTGGATTGATAAGAAGTGAACATCAACGTTTAAGTGGTTCACCCCCTCAAAATTGGGCGACGTCCACTAAATCTCTCGTATATATTGTGTTTGTACCATACTTAGCCAATCCCTAAACTACCAAGCACCGGTCAACTTCATACCTTTAAGGATCCACTGAGGGGTTCATGCTGAGGCACCCCTACCGAAGCACAAGAGTTTCCCTCCAACCAGGAGGTCAATCATAGCTTGACACATGTCAACATCAAAATAAAGCTCATAAATCCTTACTAGGTGACCGGATCAACCGAGCGAAGGTTACAAACTTGACACTTTACGTTGTTTTGAAATTTTCACTGATTTTGTGCATCAACATATTGAATAAAAGGTTACAAATAGCTCTCAGTTCAATACAGTCTCTTTTCTCTTTTAATTTGTCTGACTTTCTCTTTTAATTCATCTGACCCGTTCTAAAGAGTACTCGTCCTCTTTATATAGGCCTTCAATGTGCCCCAAGTCTCTGGGTTTGAGTCTTCCTCTGTCTTTGCATTAATGTGCCAAATCCGTAGACTTGACCTGCTAGCTGCCCCTTCATTCTTAGTCGACCCGTGATAACTATGTGACATCTGTTCAGGTCCACTTGCATGTTTTCTTGAACCACGCATACCAAGCGCCTTGCTCAACCTCTGGGGTTGGTGGGAATCCACACTCGAGTCCTTAATCTGTCAGCCTTTACATCCTTTCATAGGCTTTTGTTCTATTTAATAGCCGCCACGTTCCCTAGAGTTGATGCCTAAGTATGCATGTCCTTAGAACTTCACGTTGTAAAATTATCAATACACCAACTTGCTCCCGATGGTTGGAAAGTACTTTATGAGGAAGCGCTCGATTTCGTTGTTGGCAAACAATCTACACCCTGAGTGATCATTTGAAGGGTTCAAGATCATCCTTCCCAATCTTGTTGGGCCTTGGCCTTTCTTTCTTTGGACCAGTGTCCATTTTGGCCTCTTTGCGGTCAAAAAGGACCCCGCATTAACAATATAGTCGATTCCATTTAGTTTGGACATGCTCTTTGCAAGTAAAAACAAAAGCTAAAATCAGTTATGTTGGTTCAATTTTGTTTGGGTCTGAGTTTGATTGAATTTTTGTCACCTCGATCTTTTTTCCGGAGTTTTTTCATTCAGTTTAGCCAAATTTCTTAGCTTTTATGGCCACCCGACTTATTTGTTGTGCATACACATACAACGAACAAGAACCTCTTCTTTTTTTTTTTTTTTTTTTAACAAACGATATTATTACACTAAGTGGGAGGAGCTGGGCTTAGCCTCACAATGACATAGCAATAATTTGGTTCAAATTCGCCTTTGGAGAGAATCGAACCTAAGACCTATCGCTTACAAATGAAGAAGAATACCACTAAACCATAATACTAAGTGGCAAACATGAACTTTTTTAAGATGCATATAAAATTAGGTTACATAGAAAATAGGCTTGACTCGAAGTAAGATTTAAATTATATGTTTTACTCATGACACATGCTTTTTTCGCCTTTTAACTTGGGGCCAGCTCTGCTTGAATTTGTTCACTTCTAATTAGAAAAGATTAATTATTTGGTAGCACAATCTGGATGACAATTAGCTATACATCATGTTAGTGGAGGCTCAAAGGTAAACTCTAAAACACAACTGTTCTGTCCCATCACTTAAATCCTTTGAGTTACAGATGTATCCGTCAAAAAATAACCTTAATCCAATTTCCAATTTAGCGAACAAATTGGCGCCGACGAATGATACTTGCCGATGATCTGGAAGAGCTCCTACATGCTCGGATGTACAGAACACTGTAAACAACTCCGTCGTGAGTTCTATCTACGGCTGTTGCCTGTTGGTGAAGTTTGCTTCAAGTTGAGCAGACAAGATGAAGATACATTAAAATTCATGTCAAGTTTCTTTTGTCTTTCCTCTTTGTGGGGTTGAAGAACTCTCAGAGGTGGAGTCAAACCCTAGACATTTGAGAAATGCAATTCTTGCCAGCCTAAAATAGTAGCAAGGGTGGAAGTATATGTGGGTTGCTGCTGCTGCTGATGCCTCCTCCAATTCTACCATCTCCTCTCTTCTCATTGTTCTACTTGTGCTTGTTACTATCTCCCCTTTTATACTTTCTCCTACCTGCCAAAATCTTACAAACTCTCATTATTCGTACATGTAATACCTAATTTCTAATCCCAACACAATCTATTCAAATAAAACTTGTTTTATTATAACTAGCCTGCAAAATGATTCATGAACAAAACTTTGTGAGATGAAATCTTATTCTAGCCTCATTATTTATGGCATTTTTTGTACACCAGTTTAATTTTGGGCGTCTGATAACCATTTACTTTTCAGTTTTTTATTTTTTAGAAAACTTAAAATTGAAAACATAAAGTCAAATTTTAAAAACCAAACAAAAAACTTTATGTTTTCAGTTTTTATTATTTAAAAGTTGAAAGCTGAAAGTAATTACCAAACGGGTTTTCAATTTTTTATTAAAAAAAAAACCCTAAAAATTAAAAACAAAATGGCAATCTAATTGCCCCTTTAGTTTTAGTTTTCATTTTAAAACTTCTTTATAACTATTTGCAATTTTCAAAAAAAATGAAAAATGAAAACTGACTACCAAAACCTAAAAATTGAAATCAATTTTTGAGAACTCAAAAAAAATAGCTTTTGGTTTTTTGTTTGAAAGTCGTTATTAAATAACTTTTCAATTTAAATAAAATAAGTGAACAAAATAAAAAAAACTAAAAGAAAATAATTATCAAACAAACCATAATTTTAACAAATTTTGTTAACTCTTGTATGTATAGATATAAACAATGAGAATTTTTTAATAATATTTCAAACTAAAAAAATACATAATTGAAGAAGTTATCACAGACCCAGGTGATGAAGGAGGAGGACGTTGATATCTGAGAAATGGAAAACTACAAACAAAAGTAGTTTATAATTCATCTCCAAGGATTTGGATCCTCTCCTAAGTTTAGGAGGTTGAGCTTCCTGAGCAAATCACACGGATCGTTAGATTTTAATCCAACGGCTACAAACAAAAAATCTCTCTAAAAATTATAATAATTGTAACCGTTTGATCAAAATTCAACCGACCGTATAATTTGCTCAAGATGCACAGTCTCCTAAGCTCAAAGAGAATATAAATCCCTTCTCCAAACCCAAAACATAGAAAACATAAAACAAAAATCAATTTATAAATTATCCTCGTAGGTTGTGGTTAATGCAGACGGCTGTTGCCTGTCCTGCACTGCACTCACGTGCCTTGCTTAAGTAGTCCCCATGTAACATGTTGATATGGTTTGTTATTTTTGAAATAAGATTATCTCCCTCTTTTTTTTCCTTCTTTTTACCTTTCTCTCATGATTAAATCATGTTAACATCTTATATTAATTTATTTATAAAAAGCTAAAAATAAAATAAAGAATATGAAAAGAGGGGATGGAAATAAAAGAGGAAAAAATCAGCTGGTAGTTTCGCTACAACACTCTACTCTTCTGAAACTAGAAAAGACTTACAAAGACATTTTACTTTCCTTGACCATCATCATGCAAATCACCGCCTCTCCTCCCCACCCCCCACCCCCCACCAAAATTATTAGACCACTCCGTGATGGTATATGGTTTGTGATTTTTAGATATTATCCAGACTTTTACTTGACATTTTGTTTTACGTCATAAAAGAACTTCAATCAACTTTATATTTTGGAAAAGATCTAAACAAATATTAGAAACAAACTACCAAGCTTATGGTGGATGCTCTGAACATTCCTCCCATTGTGATTGAATTTCTATACCAAAAATGCAACTTATATGATATAAATATACCGACCAATGACATCTCGTGATAATAATACAAGCACATGTTGAAGAAAAAAACATGTACGCAGTAGTGTCAACAACTATATGAAAAAGGTAAGCCACCGCCTTTTGAGTTTAACTGGGCCACTCAAAGATTCGAAGCGCAAACATTTTGTGGCCTGTATTGGATGGTTCTTGTTTGTGTTGAAATCGTTAAATATTCAAAATTTTTATATAAATCTCCTTTTTATATAAAAAGAAAAAATACTTCAAATCGTTGTCAATCAACTATAACAAATAAATAGTTCACAATGCTTTATAGTACTATTTGTAGTTGATTGCTAAAACAATTCTAGTTTTAATTGATTTTTATTTTTAAACTATTACATAATAACTTTTAATATAAATAGCTCCATCATTAACAAGAAATTTGCCTCAAAATGTTTGTGGAATATCAAAAAAAAATGTCTAGAGTGACCATAGAAGAAGAAGATGGAACCAACCCAAAGTAGACGACGAAACGTTGTGAATAGTGACTTTTCCATGTTCAACACATAATTATGCATTTTCGAATAAAGTACACATAACTCGGGCAATCCTTTTTCTTTTGTTTTTTGTTTTTATAGAAATTATGAGCAAATCATACCATTTATGACGAAGTATCCAAAGAAAAAAAGTGTTGTGTCAAATTAATTAGGCAATACACGTTACGTCTTAAATTCGATTTCAGACACTTATAAATTATATGATGGTTGTCAAAGAAAGCTGAAATGTCGAATCTTTTTAACTCCGAAATAATAGACTATCGCAATAAAACCACTAATTAATTCTTTTTTGCAGAAAGAAAAATAAAAATGGCGAGCGCACAAGATGAAACTTCCACGTCTTTTAACACCCACCCCACCGAAATTAGAAAAAGTAAAAACAGTAATATTGTAAGTTTTTCATCATGGCGTTGTATTATTGGATCTGAATACGATGTGCCGGTGAAATTGTGATTCATGGTACAACGGATTAGGCATTTTGAGTTTAGGCTAATCAGTTCAAAATAAGGAAGCAGTAAAACTGATTAGAAAGATAGGCAAAACTAGTATAAAACAGTAATTAAGGAACACGGAGAAGTCAAACTTAGGGAAGAAGATCCAGATTCCGTACCTGGGAATTTGGCAGGCTGTTGGTGACAAGCGTAGTGGAGGTGGCGGTGCCATCGGAAACTAAGCGACTGGTGGAAGATGAAGGTTTGGTGGTGGTCGTCGTGATGTCATCATTGGAGAGATCTATGACTAATAAGCTGAAGCAGTAGAGAAGGATGAGGAGGAAGACCATCACCATCACCTGGATCCATACCAGCCATGGGATTCTGTAGCTTTCTATAGTAAATTCATCCCCAAAATTGTACATATTCAAATATTTGACCCGCTGCAAGTACAACAATTACAAACTGCACAAGAACAAAATGTGCTGCAAACACAGACAGAGAGAGGTTGCAGTAGTCTTGCAAAGCAAATCAGAGATGGGTTTTTCCTGCAGAAAAAAAAGAAAAGAAAAAGGTGAGAAATTGGTTTCTTTGCTGGGGAGAGAGGGGGGAGAGAGAGAGAGAGAGAGAGAGAGGAGAGAGGAGAGAGACTTTGAATAAAGAACTGGATGGTGAAAGGGTAGTAGTAGTACCGTATTTATGAAGGTGCAGCTGAGGACGTTTGGTTTATTGATGTTGAAATATATATGATTACAATATATCCTGGCAACCTCTAACTGACGCGCAAAAGGAAACAGTCGTTTTAACCAGAGCAATTTACTTTCAATATGTTCTGGTTTAGTAGTGTATTGTACGGTCTGGTAGTATTTTTTTTCACTTAAAAGTGGGAGGTATTATGTTCGAATCTCATGGAAGGTGAATCCAATAGCAAATTAGACTGCCTATTATGTGGTTTAACCAAAATTCACCTCCTCATAGTGTAAAAATATCAATGTATTAAAAAAAAAAAAAAAGTAAATTACACATAACTACCTCAACTATTGGGTCATTAACAGTTTCATACATCATCTTTAAAAAGTTTCAATGTCATACCATATCTTCGAATTTGTTGCAATGTCATATCTTCCGTCAGTTGTCTTGCAATTCCTCTGTTAAATGCTAACGTGGCTTATTCTGTGGCACACTTTCTATTAAAAAACTAATAAAATATTATTAAAAACTAAAAAAAAAAATTCATTTAATATTTTTTAAATATTAAAATAATTATTAATTAAAGAAAAGTTATTTATTAAAAAAAAAAAAAAAAACCATCTTCATCTTCCCCGACCCCCCTTCCCTGCAACCCACCCTTTTTTTCCTCCTCACGTCTTCCCCTTCCCTCCTCCTCCGCACCCACCCTCGCACCCACTACCTGCAACCTAGAAAAAAAATACACCATCTTCATCTTCCCTGACCCCCTTTCCTTGCAACCCAAATCCCGTTTTCCGCTTATTCTGCGAGTGGAGAAATTGGGCATGGAGAAAATGGGGGGAATGGGCGTGGATTTAAAGAGTGAGGTGTGTAGAGGAGGGTGCAAGGGTGGGTGCAGAGGATAGGTGCGGAGGAAGAGGGAAGGGGAAGACGGGAGGGGGAAGACGGGAGGGGGAAGAAAATGGTGGGTTGCAGGGAAGGGGGGTCAGGAAGATGAAGATGGTTTTTTTTTTTTTTTTTTTTTTTTCTCTCTCTCTCTTCTTTCTTTCTGGGTTGCAGGGGGTGGGAGGAAAACGAACTTGGGTTTTTTTTTAATTTTATTTTTTTTTATATAAATAACTTTTCTTTAATTAATTATTATTGTAATATTTAAAAAATATTAAATGATTTTTTTCTTTTAGTTTTTAATAATATTTTATTAGTTTTTTTAATAGAAAGTGTGCTACATCAGCATTTAACAGAGGAATTGACAGACAACTAATGGAAGGTATGATATTGCAACAAATTCAAAGATACGGTATGACATTGAAACTTTTTAAAGACGAGGTATGAAACTGTTAATGACCAATAGTTGAGGTAGTTCTGTGTAATTTACCCCAAAAAAAAAAAAAGATTCCTCCCTCCATCAAACCAGGAAACTCAAATTTGCAACCACAAGGGAAAGGAAACTAGTGGAAAATACATCCCACAAGTAAGGGTGTCGAAAAAACCACATAGATGGAAGGTGGTGGTGTGAACACCCGAACTAAAACTCTACATACCTTCCAAAAAAGCGGCAAAACGTGGCGAAAAGAAACAATTGAAAATCCGAGAATGTGTGGGATTAAGAGAAGCTGGAACCACTAGGGACAAGTAGAAAACAAACTAGATAGAGCCATGGATGTGGAACAACATCATGGAGAAGAGAAAAAGGAAGGTCAAAATTGGGAGATTGTCGATGGAGGATTAAGGTCAATTAAATGAAGAGGAAGAAGAAAACCAAGTCGAAAAATAAGGTAAAACACAGATTGGCAGAGAAGGAAAGGAGGGTAGAAGAAATGAGGTAAGGAATAAAGGAAGAAGAAAGAAACAGGTTGCCACCGACCCTCGCCATTGCTAGAGTCAGCGCTTGAATGAAGCAAAGGATTAAAGATCACTCACACAAAGTGAAAAAGACTCTTAGCACGAGAGAATAACTCTCACCTAATGGGAGAAAAAGCTTTTATGACCAGAAAGAAAATTATACATAATATTGAGTGACAATGATGATAATGCATTATTGCTTTGGAATGACAATGACAGTAAAACCGTTCGGTAAACTTTTTACAGTTTTGATAGATTTATCATCTTTCCCCACTTATTAGTGAAAAATATATTGTTATAAAAAAAAATAGATCTATCATGTCACAAACCCACATTATCTTGGAGGCTCAGAAATATTTAGAAAACTAGAATTACAAAAAGGAAAATTTTATTTGAATCCATCTAACCTCTTTCTACATCCAACTTACTCTGTACACCCATATTAGTTTTAATTAAATTATCAATATCTCTTTAAACCCAAATTTATTACCTAAATTACCCTCACAAACCCAATTCAATTTATAAATTTATCTTTACACCCATTTAGAAATAAAAACTCAAAAACCAGTGTTCTGCATCTCATTCAAGAATTATTTGATGAGATGAGTGAAAAGGATGAGGTCACTTATGGGTCATTAGTTTCGGGGTACATGTTTCATGGGTGTGTTGACAAATCCGTAGTTGTTTTTCGAGATAGTAAGATGCCAAAGTTAAGTAATTGGAATGCTGTGATTTCTGGTTTAATGACTGGCACAAAGAGGCATTAAATTTAATTCGCGTAATGTAGGCATGCGCTTGCAGACCAAATACCATGACACTGTCAAGTATTCTTCCCACAGTATCGTAATTATCAAATCTGAAAGTCAGGGAGGAAGTACATGCTTATGTTGTTAGAAACAATTTAATTTGTCTACGCACAAAGGGATTTTGATCAAGCAAAAATCAGTGTGCTACAAGTGCTCTTATACATCGATACTCATGCAAAGTCAAGTTTTCTTTACTAGGCACAAAGGGTTTGATGAGTCGATATTTTACTATATATTTTGCCCTATTTTTAGTATTAATTTATTTGTTATTTTGGTAAAATTTTGATACTTTGATTTATTTTCTTAATATAGGACATTCGACTTCATCTGGAGCAAAAAGTAATCAAACCCATGAATATGTTCGTGTGCCTTTCAAGATGATTGTGTCAAAATTCTAGATTTTTCTACCAAGCTGTTTGATCGTGGTGATGAAATTAAGGCCCAGCGCGTAGCTTTCCCAGATTAACATTTTTGGATGTTTTGGGTATTTTAGAGGTCAAGATAGTATATTTTGAGGAAGATTCATTCTGAGGATTTGTAGGGGACGTCTTTAACTTTCAAAAGAGATATTTTGGGACCAAATCGGAGTTGATTTGGTCAGTCAAAAGTGTGATTTTATGAGAAGTCCGAATTTTAGTTCAAATAGGAAACCTTTTATTTTCTATTTTATTATTTAATTATGTTTCCTAGTTTTGTTCTAAGACCTTTTACGGTGTTATTTTGTAGTAGTATAAATAAGATATTTAGCCATTAGGGTTAAGGAGAAGAAGAGTGGAGGAAACGCACGCACTACTTTACAGGGTTTTTGAAGTTTATTTTCAAGGTATTTTCTATCCTTATTTTTAATAATATTTTGTTTATGGTTGTTAGTAACTAATTCTTGTTTGCTAGGGCGAGTGTCACATCCCGGCCAGTGCAGGACTACTTCCCAGACCCGACTCCACCGTAGCAAGATATTGTCCGCTTTGGGCCCCAACCACGCCCTCACGGTTTTGTTTTTGGGAACTCACACGAGAACTTCCCAATAGGTCACCCATCCTAGGAGTGCTCTTGTGCGCTACTCGCTTAACTTCGGAGTTCTCATGGAACCCGAAGCCGGTGAGCTCCCAAAAGGCCTCGTGCTAGGTAGAGATGAGAACATACATATAAGGATCACTCCCATGGGCGATGTGGGATGTCACAGCGAGACCACGAGCCTTAGCAAGAATGTCACATCCCGGTCCAGGGCGGATCACTTCTCGGCCTCGCTCCACCACCGTAGCACGATATTGTCCGCTTTGGGCTTACCATTCCCTCACCTAAGGAAGGCGTGCTGGCCGTCACGCCCTCCTTAAGACGGGGTGTGTCAAGGAATATGTAGTTTGTTTTCAATTTGCTTATGATATTATGCATGCATGTTTTGAATTATTAATCACCATTTTAAACTATCTAAGTGTTTTAATTATTCGCGACCATTAGGATATTTAGAAAAGTAATTTGATGCAATTTTGGTCAGAAGGTTCCCTGAAATTGGCGCTGGCTTCTTGTGGTTGATAATTGTAATTTCACTTAGGATGAACACCACGTCTTAAGGGTTGCATGGTTTTTCAAAAGGTTTTCATAAAGCATAATGAGTCTTTCATGTGCATATTTAATCCGAACGTCCAGACGGGTTGCATGTTAGATATACGTTCTATGTTGGAGGTTCTAAGTAAGATATATATTAGGAAAACCTAACCTTCAAACATATGCATGGGTAATTCATAAGTAATTGAAAGACCTACATATGATTATTAAGGTGACGGCAGAACCCTAGGCTTTTACAATTTTAATTTTCAAAAATTGTTTCCTTTTAGTTTATTTTATTTTGGCACTTTATTTAATTATTTTCTATCCAATTCATTTTTATTATTTTAAATCATAAAATCAACTTTTTCTCAAACTTTGTTTTAAATAATTAATTAAGATTTGATTTAACATAGATTATTCATTCAATCCCTGCGGAGAACGACATTGTTAGTGTGACAGCCCGTTTCGGAAATTTTAAAACGTACGTGTGAAAGGACAATTTTGCCCCTAGTGTGATTTTTCGTTGAGTGGTTGTTTTTGGGGTTTTGTTGGCAGGTTTTGGGCCACACACACACTCTCCCTCACCCTACACCTTTTTCCCCTGCTCTACACCCTGTCCCGTGCTCCCTCTCTCTCTCTCATTTACATCCAATACGTACGGACATACCCCCAAAACCCATCAAATCTTCACAGATCGAGGAAACAAGTTACATATTCATGCTCGTGAGGTCCGTAGGAGTCCAACCATACCCATTTCAGGTAAGGATACCTTCGTTTTC